GGGCTTTGTAGCATTGCTAACTAGATCTAGTTTCTGCTAGTCATGGCATTTTGCAAAACGGATTCAAACATCTGGTAACTAAATATTCAGTTATTTCAACATGACAGAACTTTTATTGGAAGAGTTGCAATGCTCACGCAATATTTGGCTCATGGTGCACTTGAGGAACCTTGTGTCGTGTTGGAACTGTTGCTAAAATGTTACTGGATCTGACTATACGTTTGCCATTGTGACCTTTGCATAAAAGCGACTTGGGTACTTATTCACAAATGAGACAAACACAGTATGCATGAGTGACTTTCAGAGAAAAAGCACAAACAAGAAAGCCCTGTTGAAAGAGGACTAACAATGAGCAGGTGTCAGGACCCTCATTTATCACAGCATGATACTGTACAATGATGCTAAACACACCACCTGCGCTCATGCACAGAATGATGTCTGGATGTAAATATGTCAACACAAAGCAACAGAGAAAAGATTAACTAAATGGCATTAAAAAGGTGTCAGAAAGAGTTTAGCTTCAGGAGTTCATGTAAATCACCAGTCAGCCTCCTCACTCTCTTCTGTCTTTTATGTGTCTGATTTCATTTTGCAGACACAAAAGCAGGAGCATCCAGTGCAAGTCAGCCAGCAGAGGAGAAGACAAAGAAGTGCAGCCTGGAGAAAGAGAAATAGAGCAGTCCTCAGTACAACACAATGCTGTTCAGTCTGCTCGGTCAGTCCAACACAATGACAGAAGATTGTGTCTGCAGATTCACTCTTTAGAAACATCAGGGCATCTATTATTCCTCTACATTCAGGCCTTAGTTACCACCTCGAGAACAAGAACAAAGGTTTCTACATTTATTTTGTGTCAAAAATCCTGTTTAAAGAGACAATTATTTAATTATATTTGTCCGTTCCAGCTTTCCCTGCACTCAACTAAAACTAACCTACTATATGTGTGAACCAGACTGGGAGTGGATTTGATCTAAGAAGCTTTTCCTGTCTTAGTCACACAGTCATCAGCATCAACTACAGCTGGCGTGTTTAATGTCCCTTTTAATGTTCAAAGGCAACAAATATTTTACTTGCAATTCTTCTTGACAGTTTTTACTATCAAATATGTGCCATGACTTCAGCAATTATTATTCCATCTCAAAGCAATAAAATTGTATTCATACCTCATAAATAACTGGAGCCAAAACCATTAGTTTAAATTCAAATGCCATCACTTAGTCCCAGTGAGGTANGGCAGGCCGTGCTGTGGGCAGTGCAGTAGAGTGAGTGAAGCACAAGTGTTACCAGTCGTTAGTAGATGATCCAGGGAACAACGGAGAAGACTCAGGTCTGACGCAGATTGGCTGTGGGAAGCACAAACATAGAGCGGGTACACAGGGAAAAACCTTCAAGGAAGGACAGAGACAGTCACTCAGAAGCTCGGAAGGAAACACGAGGAAAAATCGGGAGGAGGCTTGAAGTTACAGCGTAGGTTAACACTCGGGCCATGAGTGACTGGCAGCCAGCTCCTTTTATCCTCGGAGTAATGAGGTTGATGAATTGCAGGTGTGTGGACAACACACCTGCAGGGAATAAGCCCCAGCAGAGCAGGAGTTCTCCAGGATGCCCTCTGGTGGAAACCTGCAGGAGAACATAAACACAGGCAAAAACCCCATTCCCTGACAATTCTGAGCAGACAGACAGGCAGCTAGCTCTGGGCAGCATCTGCAGCGTCACAATCGTCACACCATCATGTGTGTATTTGTGTCCCTGGAGACCTACCAAGACCTGAAGAGGTTCACCATGTTCAACGTCATGGCGGCACCAATGGACGCAGCGCCCTTGCAGGGGGACAGCAAGAGTGAATGTTTAGCGTCTTGCCCAGACGTGCATTCAGCAAAACTTACTAATTAAATGATCCTGATCCTGAAAATGCTCTCTCATCTTGCCTGTACTACTGTGTTTGTACAGCAAAAGACAATAAACTTGATTTGATTTGATTTCATTTGAATGAGACCACCTCTTAATACAATCATTATGATGCCACGGCTACAGAAACCATCAACATTATACAGAAAGGCAGTATAACAGGACGTTGCATCACAGACAGGTATTTCATGTAGCGAGTGTGTTGTCTAGTTGGGACATTTGAGTTTTATTATATTGAGAACTGCCATTCTGTTGTCACACCCTGCAGAAGCAACATCGTCATGAGAGAGATATTCTGCAGATCTGTTTCATCCCACAGCTTACCTGATGTCTCACATTCTTCCAGCCCGAACAGCCAGTCACTTGAGCTTGACACTGATGTATTTCAAACAACATCACATGATGACAAACTCAGCATGTCCATTGACAACAAATTGTTTCTCAACCTAATGGAGAAGGAGGTTCACATGGATGAAGCTAACTGCTGGGTTGCACCTTTTCCATTTCGTCCAAATAGGCCACGCTTACCTAGCAACAACATACAAGCACTCAACCGGTTTGCGTCATTACAATGCATGCTTGAAAGGAAACCAGAAATGAAAGAACAGTCTTTCAAGTTCATGCAGGCAATGTTTGATGCAGACCAGGCAGAACCAGCCCCACCGTTGACTGCACAACAAGAATGCTGGCTCTTACCAGTATCTGGCATCTATCATCCTCAGAAAAAGAACCAGATACGTGTGGTATTTGATTCTAGTGCAAAGCATGCAGGCATCTCTATCAACGATGTTCTTCTCAGAGGGCCAAACCTCAGAAACCCATTGCTGGGAGTTCTCATGCGTTTCCGCAGGGAACTTGTTGCTATAATGGTAGATATTCAGCAGATGTTTTACTGCTTCCTTGTCCGCACTGACCACCGTGACTTTCTAAGGTTTTTGTGGTTTGAAGACAATAATCCAAGCAAGCAGTTTACAGAGTACCGCATGAAAGTGCATGTGTTTAGGAATTCTCCATCCCCTGCAGTTGCAATCTATGGCTTGAGGAGAACAGCTTTGCATGGAGAAAAGGAACATGGCACTGAAAGCAGACATTTTGTTGGAACTTTTAGGAAGGAACTTTTATGTGGATGATGGGCTTGCCTCATTTCCCACTGATGAGGAAGCAATCTCCATTTTGAAGAGCACAAAAGCCATGCTGAGTCCAGCATAAAACTGCACAAGATAGCTTCCAATAGTCGTATGGTAATGGAAGCCTTTCCTCCTGAGGAGTGGGCAAAGAGCTTAGTTGATCTGGAGCTGACAGTTGATCCCTTGCCACCATAGCGCAGTTTGGGACTTACCTGGAACTTGGAGTCCAGCGCCTTCACCTTTCGCCTTCACCCAGGAGAAAAGACCCTTCACAAGGAGGGGAATCCTATCGACTGTGAATGGGCTTTATGATCGTCTTGGATATGTTGCCCCAATAACCATCCAAGGGAAGGCTCTAGTCAGAGAGTTGTTGTTGTCAGAAGCATTTGATTGGGATGCTCCTCTTCCAACCAGTAAGAAAGAACAGGGATATCTGTGGACAGAGTCCCTTCAAGAGCTTGAACAGCTACAAATTGAGAGATGATACATATTGATATCACTTCATGCCACGAAATACAGGGAACTCTGTATCTTCTGCAATGCGTCCTCAATGGCCATATCAATGGTTGCATACCTCAAAACAACAGACATGGAAGGACACATTCATATTGGATTTGTAATGGGCAAAGCAAAGTTGGCTCCTCATCCTCCACATACAATTCCATGATTGGAACTGTGTGCTGCTACCCTGGTTGTGGAAGTGAAGGACATGATCACAGAGGAAATGGACACTGACTTCCATAAAATCACATTTTACACAGACAGCCGCATTGTGTTAGGCTAAATCCACAACACCAGAAGAAGATTTTATGTGTATGTGGATAGCAGTTGCTCGCATCAGAAAATCCACGTGTACCGAGCAACGGCTCTACATCAGTACAGAACACAACCCCGCGGATCATAGCACACCATCTGTGCCGGCAGCTCATTTGAGGAACACCAACTCATTTAAATGACCTGCCCTCTTGTACAGGGACACAGTCAACATAAAACCAAAGTCCTATGCTCTTGTGGAACCGGGCACCGATGCAGAGGTACATCCCAAAGTTACTGTTTTCACCACAACGGTTACTGTGTCTGGACTTGGTTCACATCGATTCGAATGGTTTTCAAGTTGGAAGATACTTTGTCGAACTACAGCCAGGATCTTCCAAAGAATCAGGTCACACACAACCAATACAAACAGCAAGGTAGATGAGTTAACGCAAGCAAGGATCATAATCATCAGAAGTGTACAGAAGGATGCCTTCGCCGACGAAATCAAGAGTCTCACCACAAGTGGTGTTGTCTCAGAAAGCTGAATCCATTTTTTGACACAGATGGGCTACTAAGTGTTGGGGGTGACTTTCCTCTGCTGATATTCACTGGGATATTCACTCCATCATTGTTCCCAAAAAACATCACATTGGTACCTTGTTAGTGAGATACTACCACGAGCAGGTTGTGCATCAAGGAAGACATCTTACAGAAGGTGCTATTTGTGCTGCAGGTTTGTGGCTTATGGGAGGTAAGAGGCTGGTATCGAGCATCCTTCAAAGGTGTGTGAGCTGCAAGAAACTAAGAGGATGAGCAGAGTAACAAAAGATGTCAAGCTTGCCACCCGACAGAGTCATCTGAAGTCCTCCATTCAATGTGGGCGTCGATGTGTTTGGGCCCTGGATTGTCACTTCTCGTCAAACAAGAGGAGGCGTTGCAGAGAACAAACGCTGGGCAGTCCTCTTCACCTGTTTGGTAACTATGGCTGTACACATTGAAGTAGTTGAATCTTTGTCCACTTCAAGTTTTGTGAACGCACTAAGAAGATTCACAGCTGTACATGGTGTTGCTCGCAGGATAGTTGATGGATTAATGCTCAAGACAAAAACTATTCATCTGTCTCATGAGGTTCTCGCTACCTTCATGTCTGAAGTAATGGCTATCATCAATGCCAGACGTTTGGTTCCAGTGTCATCTGACTCAGACATGCCAACTATACTCACTCCTGTTATGCTTTTAACACAGAAACTAGAGGGCATTTCAGCACCTCCAGTGGATTGTGACATGTAAGACCTCTACAGTAAGCAATGGAAGCAGGTGCAAACGCTGGCAGAGGCTTTCTGGAAACGCTGGTGGCAAGAATTGCTGGCAAATCTCCAACCACGACGCAAGTGGACTACGGAAAGACCAGATCTCGTCAAAGGGGATGTTGTTCTTCTTAAGGATGTATAGGTCAAGAGGAATTACTGGCCTGTTGGTGTGGTGAAGAATGTTGTTCTCATTCAGGACAACAAAGTGTGGAAGGTGGATGTGCGAGTGGTTAAACAGGGCAACAAAAAGGTTTACTGTAGGCCAATTTCTTATGTTGTGTGACAGTTCGTGCTAAGTGACTGTGCGGGC